TGCATGCAGTTCTACTAACTAATGCAGGGGGAAGAAGTTGCAGAACTATACACATCATTGCTTTAAAATGGAAGGTCAGTTTTTCCAAATGAGCTAGTGACTTAGGTGCCTAAATCCACTGGTTTTCAATGGGACATGAGTGCCTAACTAGTCACCTTCCTCTCATGGCTGAGGCCCCCCACAGAGAGCAGTGGCAGTGGCTGGGCCTAAGTCACTTGAGTACTTTTGAAAACTTGGCCCCAATTCCCAACCCTATAAAATTGAAATTGCATTGAAAAGTGACTGATAAGGGCTGACTATATGAAACGTAGCTTTCTTAGGGGCTGGACACTGGTACAGAACTTATACTGCAAGAGACAAGGATGACCACACACTTGAATGCTTTCAGAACTGAACGGCAAGGCTCATGTCTTCAGTTTAGCTCTCTCTTATCATTTATACAAATCAAAAAGAACAAAAATTCACCCCCTCCTCTAAGCAAACTATACAAGCTATTTTTCCTATAACAGATAGAAGAGTTATGACCACATTTATACTTAAAAGCTTGGAATGTCTTCAGATGCTGAAGTGGTGGAGGCAGCATAAAAAACTGGATCAAGAGAGAGAGGCCCTTAATGAAATTATTTTGTCTTCCTTGTACTCAACCCACAGCCTCTAACCATACATTTAGATTGCATGCTAGAGGATGCATGCGTCTGTGAGGCCTAACACTAGGAAGGCCAAATAAGCCTATAGATAGGGCTGCAATAGAAATAACAAGGTTCTTGATACTCAGGGTCAAAACATTAGGCCTCTCTCATCTTTACTTGTATACACGTACTTTGCTCACATTGACTGCATTGGAAATTCACTGCATATGTTGAATGCACAGGCATCGACATCCGCTTCTTTGCTCAAATCAAAACACTATTCACCTGAAAGTTAAATCTGTGTATGTATAACCAAGTTGTGCATGCAAAAATGTGTGGGTAACATCAGCTATTCACACAACATAGGAAGCAAGCTTGAGTCTTACTGGAAAAAAATACATTTAAATAATATTCAACAGAATATGATGGCCAGAGGCACAACAGTCAGTGTACACAGCAGGATGCTTTTCATTCAGTAGTGGTTGTAAGAAGGGGAGGGACAGCTCTTCAAGCAAACTAGTGAAGTTTTTCCAGCTAGAAAAATGTAATTACTTTTAGTTGCCTTCACGTTTGCCTCTACAGTTTGGAAGGTCTGGCTGCTTTTCTGGAGGTACAAGGATTGTTATCTGTGGTATCAGGCGGGGGTGACCACTTGTTTATCATGGCTACACCAATGTTATGTTCTTTCGTTTAGTTTCTTAAAAGAAGTATAGAAAAAAGCCAAATAGGGCTAATTTCAACGTTAACTTTCCTGCCTCACTGAAAAGCATTAGATTCAATCAGTTTGGTAACCAGAAATATTCTAGCACCAGTTCAAACAAAAAACAACAACAAATCCTCCTAAAATGTGAGAGGTGCTGCAAGACCAGGTTCTTGTAGACTAAAACCTAAGTAAAAGTTTTGGGTTTTCTTTCAAGATTTTCTTTTGCCTCTCATATTTCAAATCACTTGAAGGAAAAAATACCATTGCAAAATATGGGGGATAAGTGGGGAAACAAGAGGGATAAATTTTAACTGCAATTATACCTATCTAACGTCACTAAACTTTTATTTACTATTGACATCACCGAGGTTGTAAAGCTACAGCAAAAAGAAGAATTTAGCCTTAGTTTAGTAGAGTACAGTTGTGTAGCGTCAGTGTAGTGCAGTGCAGTGTAAGGTAAACCTGATAGCCATTAGGCAGTTCAGATATCTCAAAAGGAGCCTAAGCTGTCAAAATCTTCTATTGCTGAAGGAGGAAACAGCTATAATGATGGGATCATGCTTTTCTCTGAAAAACATGATCCCATCAAAACATGATTTTCTTTTCTCCCTCCAAAATGGGAGGAAAGGACCAACTAAGGTCCTCTCAGAGAAATAGCATTTTTGACAGGTGAACAGTCCCACTCCAAAGCTCTAACACTAAAGGTTTATCTATTAAAAAAAAACAGTGGGTAGGTGAGTCCAGTATAGCTGTACTAATACAAGTCTACCAGCTGGGATATACCCCAGAGAAGACTGACTTTATAACAGCAAAAATATTCTTTGGCCAGTATGGCATCAACCAGTTTCCTGAACAGAATAAACTACCCCAGCAAAAGGTTACCTTTGCCAGTATAACTGTGTGTACACATGAGAGGCTTTTGCTGACACCGGTACGTTAGGTAGGGATCACAGCACTTTCATGCCTCTGACATTGCCAGCCAAACTTTGTAATGTAGACATGTCATAAAAGCCACTGCCCTGAGGCAAGAAGGCCACCAGCTGAGTCACACTGTCTCTTTGATCTTTGCATGCACTTTTATGTTATGGAAGCAAAGGGCCTCCAGTTGTTCTGATACTCGACTGAAAGGAAGAAGCTGAGCCACAGAAGGAGATTGAGTGCTACTGTAAAAACAAACCGACATTCAGAACAGAGCTTTGAAGCTGTTGATATTAATGGTATTTTAGGATTTCGTAACTGTATATCTAGAGACTTACCGGGTTGCCCGTACAAAACGCCTGAACCCAGCTGAGCAGGGATTACCTGCCAGTCTGTGTGACAATCATTAATGAAATAACCTGGTTCTCTTCTGACACTCATTTCACTCCTTCCAAAGTCATATCCACTGTCACCCCTGCAGAAGCTGAGCTGTCCACTGAAGAGACCTGAACATCATAGAGGGAAGCCACACAGTGTAAAACTACCACAGCAGCGCATTGTTTTAGCACTATCCACCTAATCATTTTCAGATTAAATCCTCCTGAAAATGGCTGTTGTTTAAACCACGATTCACAAATGGGTTCAAAGTAATCAGTGACTCCAGCCAGCCTTTGAATTCATTGATCACCCTGAATCAATTCACATACGTTTGACACCTACTAATGGGTCGTCCGATGGGTTTCTATACAACTTCCCCTTATCCTGGTTTACAGCCTGCTTGAGTGTGTGATAGTCTTGTACCATGGTAGATGAGCTACAGCAATGACACGATGAGGATGAGAAACATTCCCATGGAACGCAAGGAAAGTTGCTTTTGCACATCCCATAGTTACCAAGCCACATTAATCTGGCACACTCAGCACAATGATTTGTTAATACAATGAATACTTCGAGCCGCTATTCAAGATCCTTCTTTGGCTTGTGCGCTAGAGTGCCATCACTGCAGGATTTTCTATTCATAGTTATTTTAATACTGCATTTGTTATATACAGCCCTGCTCTGGAAATCCCACACATTATAGTCCTGTGCAAAAACCCATGAATGACTTTTTTCATGCAATGTTTCCACGCAAACAAACTCACCATTGATCAGCAAGATTAAGTCAGGCATCTCTCTGGCATAATATGTATTACACACACTCACTCAGGTTTCAATTTACATCTCTTCTCCATTAGTGGAAAGGAAGAAGGAATTAGAAAGGCTTAGTCACAAGTGACTAAAAGGCATCTGTCAGAACGATCACAAACTAGGTAGAGCGACACAAGGCTGAATAAACAATTGCTAACTCAACAGCAAGCGTTTTTACTACTTTTATTTTTTGTGTTCATGAAAAGCACTAAATTGACAGCTTTACAGGCTGCAGTTATGCTTATGGAGAGATCAGACCGTAAGAGGAGCAGCTATGAATCCTATATTAGCCCTGACTGGGTGTGGGCGGGGAGACTGTATCTAGGGGCTAAAGGCATGGGCCTTGTGTGCATGCAAAGCTGTATCACTTCTGCTAAAACCAGTCTGTCAGCCAGCTTTGTTGAGTGCATGCTAACCCTTGCATCTGTTTAAAACTGACTTGTATCCATTTAGCTAATGTCGGTCAGCTACCAAATTAAGAGAAAAGTGCTGAATTATTAAAGCGCAAACTATGCAGACCTTCCTTCAGGAAGCACTGGTTTATACTGATATAACTTAACTGGTAACTGACTCATACAAGCAAAAGCAATATAATCCAGATTTCAGAGACATCTCCAAGTGTGAACAGAGTTAAATGCATCTATCAGAGCATTCACACTAGTTGCATGAAATTGATTTGAAATCTGATTTTAATGCAGGCAGTACCGCTTTTAAGTATAGACAAGGTCTAAGTATCTGCAGTTCTGACCCACAGTTAGGGTGGTTGATCTGTATACAAGTGAACACTGCTGTTTTGCTTTCTAGTTCTCCACAGACACCAGGATTTAGCGAATTCAAGCTGCAAGCTTAAAAAAAAATGTCCTCCAGAGAACTTCTTTCATATATTGGTTTGTAAACCGAGACATAAGATTAAGCTACATCAAGCAGAGCAGAAAAGTCAACATCCTGCATTCATATCACCAGTGATATGTGGCCCACTTGCCCAATGGATGATTAAATGGGTGTAAATGTACATCAGGCAATTTTTCAATGTGACACCTCTGCCGTGATTTATCCAAAACACAGACTATCAGCTATCAGGAAATGTGCCACTTTGTAATATAAAGGCTTTGAAAAGGCCCTGGTGCGTTCCAGATACAGCAGGAGTTTCAGTAGTAGTTGAATATCTGGCTTGTTCCTCATTCTCTTACTCCCCAGACTTTCATTATCAGAGAAAGGTGTCAAAGTTAAATATGCTATAAAAGATAGTGCCTATGTATACAGACTATGATTTGCATCCTGCTTATACACGCTCTGCACAGCTAATCATCTATGTATTACATATGGAGAGGAAAATGTAGGTAGCTTAACAAATGCAGATTCTTTAGACTGCAGCAGAAAAGAAAAATATTGCAAAGACAGCTGAAGCAGGGGATTTCAGTTCATTAGAATTCTATTATTAAATCCTTAAGTGATTCCTGGAGCAGCAGAGAACCATGCAAAATTATGATAGGCAAAGCAGATGTTGTCCTGACAGCCACAATCTGAAATCTGAAAGCCAGTTTGGTTGCAAGTCCATGCATTTGTAATGCTTCTTCTGGTGCTGCGTTTTAATAAGCCACTTCTATGCCAAAAGCGGGTGCTCTTCAGATACCTGCACAGTAAATCAAAGGAGATGCAGCTCAGGAACCTGGGGTCAGTAAAATGATTCATTAATATGGACAAGTGTTGTCAACAAGCTTGAGTGTGTATTTCAAGGGCAAAACTGAACATGCCCTATTTTTTGCTCTATAATATTTTTATGTGCCTATATGGAAGAATAGACCAGGAAAAGGAGAAAACTCTAAATATTAAGGGAAAACTAACTTGAATAGTTTCCTCTCTCCCCCTTTCTCTCGTTCCTTCCATCCAGGGAAAAATAAAACAGCTCCAGCAGTTAATCATGTAACTGGTCCTGATGGCTATTTTTACAGACCCAAAACAGTTTTCTGTATTAAAAGAAAATGTGCATGTCAGCATCCACATTATCTTGTACTGATCTGACTTTTGGGGGAAAAATGCCATTACTCTTAGAAAGGGGCAAGCAGTTGAGCCTGAAGTTTAATCACGCTGTTGCTGTTGGTTTGTGTGTTAAGCTAACCCAGTAGAATTAAAAAACAAAAAACAACTACCAACCCATCACGCTGGCTGTTACTATTTTATTTTTAAATTATTATTCTCAGCAGCAGACTGCGCTGATGAAAGGCAGGAGAGTAGTTGAGGGTAATGCTATTTCTGTGGTACCAGATTCAGTCTTACTGGTGTCAGAGGATAATGCCTCATGCATGCAGACATTTCTGCAGCAGGATAGCTGAATACTGTACATTGCAATTGAAATATTGGGCAATGCCAAAGGATACTTCCCGATTATTAACAATGGGCCAATGTCCAAGCTCCCATACCTACAAAAAACCTTGGAAGGACTTGACTATAGTGATGAGATGCTAAAAAAAGAGATTGGAATTCCTAATGCTGTTTGTACAGCAACCAAATCAAATGTATATTTCTCTCCAGCCCTGAATATATATTTGAAAAAAAGAGTGGAGATTGAGGAATGGGGATCCCAGAAACAACATGCAAAAAGCTAAATTATATAAGGCAGAAGGCAGGGCAGAGTTCTACCTTATAGACCAAGTACTCAACTGGCATGGTGGGGACAGTTAAAGGCCAAACCTCAAACTTAGCAGAGAAATACCACCTGACTGCTTTGGACCATAGCCCATACTATAATCGGGTATGATAAAAACAGGTACCTCTTGTAGGTGGGGAAACTGCGTCAGCTGTGAAGTGATTTACCCAAGGTGAACTAGTAGTTCAACAGTCATGCCAGGAACTGACCTGAACGATAGTGTTCTATCAAACTCCTTTCCACACCTGCCTAAATGTGGGATTGGTCCAGAGACACTCCATAGCCCTCTGGAGTGAAGCAGATAGCTTTCCACAAAGGCAGGGGTGGGCAATTATTTGGGTGGGAGGGCCACTTATGGAGTTTTGGTGAGCTGTCATGGGCCAGGCCAACATCCCTTCCCCCTCCCCCCCCCGCCCCCCAACAGCTCACCAAAACTCCCTAAGTGGCTCTGCTCCTTGGTTGGGCAAATGGGATAGAGCCGCGGATGGGCAGGGAACAGCATCTGGGAGAAGGATGGGTGGCCAGGGCCAAGGCTAGGATCATTGTGGGGCCAGGGCCCAGGGCAGAGCCACAATCTTCTCCCCACATTTCCCCTGCTTGTGGAACTGGTGCCCATTGCAGGGATGTGCAGGCAGTGGATCATGGCTCTGCCCTGGGCCCTGGCCCCACCCTATCAGCCCCCCAAAATCCTGATCCCAGCCCTGGCCCTGGCCACCCATCCCACTCCCAAATGCCACTCTCTGACCACCCATGGCCCCACTGCATCCACCCACCTGCTCCCCTTGCCTGCACAGGGTCCCATGGAGACCTGCCTGTCAACTTCAAACAGTGCCCTGGGTGGTGGGTGCAGGGCAGACAGGCCAGGGTGCCTGGGCAGAGGGGCTGGGTCCAGCAGCAGCAGCATCAGAGACTGGAAGTGAGTCTGGTCATTGTGCTGCCCCAGACCCACTGCACTCCTGGGGGTGCCGAGACCAGCTGCACACACCACAGGCCCCCACACCTGGGCCGGGCAGGGCCTAGGGATCCGCTACAAGTTGGATGAAATCCCTTAGTGGGCCAGATCTGGTCCGCAGCCTGTATTTTGCCCAACCCTGCACTAAGAGAATAAAACTGTGTACAAAACCTTGTGTTAAGAGATTACAATGACTGCCTGGAAAAGCACTTGGAACTCAAATGGTATTTGTGCTACCTTAACTCTGCCCCAAGCAGCCTTGGCTCAGGGGATGCACTGTGCAGTCTTCCCAGCTGTACTCTGTACAAAAGAAAACTCCATACAGAACATACTGGGAGAGCACAACCTACAATTTTCAGTGTCATGCCTCAGTCTAGTCAAAACCAATTTTCACTGGACACTGAAGGGTACCACTTCTCAATAAGGGCCATTTCCAGGCCAAATTCCTTGCTGTTTCTGCAGCAAGGCTAATCAAGATGAGGTCACAAGAAATCTTTTCAATGGCGTATTTCTCCTATCCTGTCTCCTACGCTCAGAAATAGATTTTGTTTAAACCTTCATAAGAAGAAAATTTAACTAGTAAATTTCAACTCTAAGGGCCAAAATTAACACAAGTTTTGCTCAACTGAAAATAGGTGCTAGAATGAAAACTGTTGTGGAACTTTAATTAGATTGACTGCCGAATTAAGGACTCAACATGCCCAGTCATAATCAGTTAGGGCCCAACCCTGCAAGAAATTGTGTGCTCAGTGCCATCAGATCTGAGGAATATCATTAGTATTTGAATGCACTTTTTACCCAGAGGGACCGTGCCATTTAGAATAAATAACCTCCCTCCCCACCACCCATTCCTATTAGGCTGTAATGCACTGTTTTATCTTAAGATCAAATAAATTTGATCGCTAACTTAAAAGCTTATCATCATTTGCTGTTTGATATTACGTGAAATACTTCACTGGTTCCAGAAAATTAATCTAACTCTGAACAAAGAGCTTCTATATTGGTTTTGCAGAAGCATGTGACATGCTCCCATCAAACACATGAACAAACAGGAAAGCACAGATTTATTGTGAACCAGTTTTTTTCCTATAAATTAAAAGGCCATTCCCTTTTATATGTCATGTGTATTTAATTTCACTCTATAGGGTAATCCAGTGAGAATATGGAGAGTGCCAAGAAATACTTTCCCCATTCCTTTTATTTCCTTAGGCAAATATCAAGAATTAGAGACAGAGAAAAGATGAAAAAGGGGAAGGCCAAGGGAAATACAGAGGCCAAGAAAGTAAGTAAGACCAGTCTAAACAAGGATTTTTCCTGGCCTAGGCAAGAAGCAATGATTATTTATAACAGGGAAAGGCATCTGTCTTTGATTATGATTTCATGTATACTGTGGACTGTGGTGAACTTACTGTGTGCCAGAGAAGACTGTCATCTTGCAGTATGAAATACCAGTGAAACAAATTAATCTCTCTCCCTCTCAAGGAGACCATTCTGCCTTCCACTAACTGAAGGACATTACAGAAGGGATTTTTGTGCCAGGAAAAATAAAACTATAGGCTATTATGGAATGCACAAAAATCAGATTTAATTTATGAACAAAAGATAGCCATTGAAGCATATGGGTTTTAAATGAATCTACTTGAAAATGTCAAATTTCACAGCTTTTGCATTCAACTCAAGATTAAGTTCTGCAATAAGTACATGGAAGATCTACATAACAGAGAACTCTTACTTCCATTTTCATCAAATCTTAACATCAGTGGCCTATTTGCGTTACTTATGAAACATACAGATGTGAGACCTTAGCCAACAGAAGACCATTTCTGAATCCAAGGAAGCACCAGCTTGGAAAAGCACATGGAAGTGTGCACGTTACTGTGTGTAAATCTATGAAGCAAGATTTCTTTACCATGTTTTATCTCCTGACAAGATATTGCTGTCTAACAATCTAGTAAGATGGCATACAAAATACTAAATCTATTGAATCCAAGCAACGTCCCTTTCAGTACAAACCAGAAACAGCTGAACTTCCCTAGCCAAGCCAGCTTGCAATAACTGGAAATAATAGCAAGCAGAAATACCTTGGGAGTAAAGGATTTTCTCATAATGCAGAATGTGTGCCCAGTACAATGCTATGCATCTTGAAAAGCTGGAAAATTACCTGCTATAATGACAGTGGCAAGAACCATCAAGACAGGTGACATTTCACAGCCTAAATAAATGCTCTAAACATTTGTTTCCTTTTCCAAGGCAGGAAGGGGAGGGAAGCAGTTTTCAATTAGTTGTTCTTACCATTCAAGGCACCTTATCCCTCTTTGAATTCAAATGAACAAAGTGTGAAAGTCTTTGGGGTTTCCTTGTCACTGGAACCCAGAATTCACTGCCTGGAGCTTCTGCACCATCCACTGAGAACAGATCTTAAGCATAAGATATAGTTACAATCTATTTCTTCCCTTTTTAAAAAATAACTGTCAGTAACCCCAAAGAGGACGTTTACTGAGTTGATGGACAAGCTACAGCTCAGTACGTTTTGAAGCCTGCACAGCTTGTCAAGAGGCAAGGAACTGACAGCATTTTGTTGACACGTTCCCTCAAAGAAATGTGCAGACTTACAGATTTGATTTTAAAATATTCTACATTTGAATGGTGCTGAGTGATAACAACATGTCACAGGCACTGAAACTCCAGCTTATCAGTTTCCTATCAACTTGAACTAACTAGAATCAGAGTCTGGATGAGATATTGTTTCTTCTGAGCATGGTGGCAGAGTAATTATTGAGGTTTACCTACTAGAGCAAAACACTGTCCAAGAAAAGCTATTACTCTGATTGAGTGGCTACGTCTGGTAACTCATAATATCAGTACTCACAAAAAATCACATAAAATTCATTTTTGAATGGGGTAAAAGTAGCTACTATTTTATAGCTGCCTATCTCCCACACTTCATTAACAAATCAGAACATAAATCCCAGGCACCACAATGTAAATATGGCCACAGACAACTACTGGGACTATACTAAATCACAAACTTCAGGCCTAAGCCTTCACCATTGAACTCAATGGGATATTTTTGTCATTTCACTTCAGTGGAAGCTGGATCAGACTTGGTGCAAGTTAGTTATAATGATAATGATAATGAATGGTAATGTCTAGGAGGCAGGACGGGTAAGCAGAGAAGGCTGTCATGCTCCTTTATGTACCTGACACACTGCTGAGAAATTACTATTACTGCATGAACTGACTGAGGGCAAGTATTATAAGGGAAAATGTCAAACTGATTTTCAACTATTCTTCCACTCCGCATCTTATCCTCTTCTTTAACAGGTTTCTTAGCTCTTCTGAATTGACTGTCAGTCCACCTTCCCTTTGCCATCAGCCATTTTCTAAATTGTTGCCAATATTTCTGTCTTTAAGGAGCTGCAGATGGAGAAATGATTTTTCTGAAGGATTTCTAAGTGACAAGCCACAGAAACCGATGCCAAGATTTACACACACACACACACACGCGCACACACACACACACGCGTGCACGCACGCACGCAGACGCAGTGATTGCAGTTGAACAAATGGACACCTTAGAGGAGCCTGATTTTGGAGCTTAGTTCCTCAGTTCTTTCTGAAATAACAGGGGTTCCTTCAGGTGCTTCAAGAAACACTAGACACTTTTGAAAATACCAATCATGTTTTTCAAACTATTAATTGCATCTGCTTAGCCTTTATGATTTCCAGACCTTGTGCTTCTTATACTCACTTCTTTTCTGACATTTTGCTGACTTGAGATACCCTTTTTTCCTGCACATAAGGGACCCTTAATTTTGGGGGGAAGAACCCATTCTCAAACCCCCTCTTAAAAAAAAAGTATGGTCTTAGCAGAGGCTGGTGGAGTGCAAAGGTAGCAGCCCTGGGCTTTGGGACAAGATCTCCCCCCCGGCTGTCCCATGAGTTAGTAGGTAGTTGGTTACATATTTGTTACGTGTGGGATAACCAAGTAGAAACATGGCTTCCAGACCTAAGGCCTGCCACTGCCAGTGACTAAACAAATTAAAGGAAACATG